CGCAAATGTAGGCCCGTAAGTCTGACCCAGAACTCCCAAAGCCTGCCCAGAGGCCTCATGGACATAAAGTGAGAATGGACGACTAAGCTCCGGGAGTTGGAGAGCAGGCGCTTCGAGCAGATCCCGTTGTAGCCGGCGAAAAGCATGGGCAGGCGAGGAGGTCAGGGGTTCCTCAGCAGGTCCCTTTGTTAGGTCATACAAGGGTTTGGCCAACAGGGAGTAGCAGGGAATCCAGGCACGAAAGTACCCTGCTAATCCGAGAAAGGACAGGATGTCGGCCTTTGAAGCCGGAATTGGGAGGTCTCAGAGGGCTTGTTTTCGGTCCACCGTAATCGCCTTGTGTTTTGGGGTTAGTTGGAAACCCAGGTAAGTGACTGAAGCGACTGAGATATGTGCTTTGCTAGGAGAGACCCGATAGCCCTTAGTTGCCAGGAGGTGTAGGAGAGCTGCTGTATCCTGCTGGGAGTGATCAAAAGATGGGCTACACAGAAGGAAGTCATCGAAATATTGGAAGAGTGTAGAAAAGAAGGGTGATCAGGACGAAAAGACAGGAGATCCTGTGCTAGGGCCTGTCCGAAAAGGTGAGGGCTGTCCCGAAAGCCTCGGGGAAGAACAGTCCACATGAGTTGTTGAGAATGGAGGGTCTGAGGGTTGGTCCATGTAAAGGCAAAAATGTCCTGAGAGGAGGTGTCTAATGGAATAGAGAAGAAGGCATCCTTAAGATCCAAGACCGTGAAATGGGTGGTATCAGAGGGAATAGAGGAAAGGAGGGTGTAGGGGTTAGGAACCAAAGGATGGATAGGCACCACGGCAGGGCAGCGTTGATGAGACACAGGTCCTGAACTAAGCGATAGGCACCAGAGGGTTTTTTTACTGCTAGTATGGCAGTATTGAAGGGAGAGTGGGTGGGGATCAGATGTCTCTTAGCAAGGAGATCCTGGATTATAGGGAGAAGGCCTAAGAGGGCCTGAGTAGATAATGGATATTGAGACTGGCTGATGTATTTATGAGGGTCACGAAGCTTGATGTGTACTGGGGTACAAGAGGACTTGGCCGGGGAAGAGGTGTCCCATACCACTGGGTTAACAGGATAGGAGAGTGTGGGAATGAAGGGAATTGAGGAGTCGGCAGGAAGAAGAGCCAGGAGGAGGGGAATCTGAGGGTCTGAGGTATGGGTGGCCGGGGAGATGGTAATAGAAGTTTTTTTTGTTTTTTTTTTTTAAAGATTTATTTATTTATTCATATAGAACTGGGGTACAGGCCAGAGATGCGGAGGGTGAGAGGCTTCACCAGAGACAGAGTGGGGAGCAGAACAGGCAGATTGACGAAGTACACTGCTGAGAGGAGCAGCGGGCGGGCCAGGAGAGGTCTGCCTCACCATGTGGACTCCTCCGGGGCAGGCAGGAATCGAACTCATGAGGAGGTGGCTTAAGCTTCGTAGTGCAGTGCTTTAACCCGCTGTGCCACCAGGGAGGGCCCTGGTAAAATAAGTTTTAAGTTTGGATAGGATGTCTCTGCCTAAAAGGGGAACTAGGCACTGAGGCATTACCAAAAAGGAATGTGAAAAGAAAAACGAAGGGGTAGAGAATAGACATGTGAGCACAGGTGTGTGTAATGAAGGGAGTAAGTTGCCTCCTATCCCGACTATAGGAGAGCTAGCTAGATGGTACGGTGGGTCCCCAATATTCCCTCAGGACGGAAAAGGTTGCGCCAGTGTCAAGCAAGAATGAAATGGGACGACCATCCACGCGAACTGTAACCCTGGGCTCCTGCAAGGTGATCGGGAGCGGTTGCCCAAGGCCCCGTCAGTCTTCCTGCAGTGTTAGGACCTGAAGCGGTGGGGTGGCTGACCTCTCGCCACTTTGTGCGTGAGGGCAGTCAGATCCCCAGTTACCGGACCGTTTGCACTTTGGGCAGGGTTTAGAGGGGGCCCTGGGCAATGTTTTGCCCAGTGGCCTTCCTGACCACATTTAAAACAGGGTCGAGGGGGTTTGGCTACCCCAGTGGAGGGCATCTGAGGACAGGATTTACTGGTCACCAGGCGGGCCAGCATTTGAAAGTTGGCCTGAGTATTTTGTGCTTTACAACGCTCCTTTTCTTCCTCACAGCCAAGAAAAACTTTAAAAGCAACCGTGAGGATTTCGGCCTGAGGGGTAGCGGGGCCCAGTTCCAGTTTTTTAAGTTTAGCCTTAATGTCAGGGTGGGTTTGGGCAAGAAAATAAGTCATAAGGACAGTTTGGCCTTCTGGATACTCGGGGTCTCGGTTAGTGTACTGACGTAGGGCTTGAGTGAGACGCTCAAGATATTTAGTAGTAGTCTCATCTTTTTTCTGAATAATGTCCTGGACTTTCTGAAAGTTTGTAACCTTACGCGCTGCCATTTTAAGGCCAGTGACAAGAGAGGCGGCAAAAAGGTCCCTAAGATGGAGGTCGCGCTGGGTGTTATAGTCCCAGTGTGGGTCACGCTCGGGGACTGCATCGAGCCTGGAGGGGGTTGGGTATTAATTCTGTGTTGTTCAGTGGCATATGTTTGAGCATGTTGCCACACTTGTTGCTTTTCCTCAGGGAGGAGAGTATTAGAAAGGAGCATGAAGATGTCATGGTAGGTAAGGCTATACGCCTGAAGGATCCATTAAAACTCTCGGATATAGGTGGTAGGGTCAGAAGAGAAAGAGCCAAGACGCCTTTCGAGATGTGATAGGTCGGACAGAGAAAAAGGGATGTGGACATTGACTACACCTTCGGCCCTGGAAACTTCATGAAGGGGGGCAAGAATGTGAGGGGTGCGGGAGCGAGTGTGAGATGCAGGAGGACTAGAAATAGAGTCTGATGGAAGAGGGGGATAAAGAACAGGGGAATGAACAGGGCAATTGGTTTTGGGTTCAGGACGAGTAAGTTGGAGAGTGGATAATGGAGCCGTGGGTGGAGAAGGAGAGGTAGGCAAAGGTGCCACAGGAGGGGGTCTAGGACAATAGGGAGGAGGTTCATCGGCTGGGTCGAAGGAATTACTAGATGGTTCAGACTGTAAGGGAGCCAAAGCCAGGAGAGGGTTTGGATGTTGGGGAAAACAAAGGGAGGGATTATGAGAAAGAAGGTGAAAAGCTTCCACGTAGGGGACTTCCTTCCACTTTTTGAGGTGCTGGCAAGTAGTTAAAAAGATCAGTAATTACTGGATCTTGAAGTGAGCCCTCAGGGGGCCACTGGGAGTGATTATCTAATGGGTATTTAGGCCAATCCTGACTGCAGTATTTGATAAGGGTCTTGGGTTTGATGTCGGGAGCAAGTGAAAGTGCGGAGAGATGTTTTAGGAGACACTTTAATGGAGTGTCTTGAGCAGCTGACTGTGAATTACCCATGATTTGTAATGGGGCAAAGCACGTCACACAGGAAAGAAGAGAAGGCGAGAAGAAATACGAGGAGGAAGGCGATGACAGAGAGAATGAGTAAAAGAGTCTGGGGATCCAGGCTGGGATAGAGAAGTGGAAGTAAAAGAGAGTCCGAGGCCGGGAAGTCGTGGATTCCAGGCTAAAAGGGTGACACTAAGAGGGTGTAGGGTGTCCCCTGGACCGACTAAGTGGACCAGAGGTCCCTGGTACCAGGGCCAGATATGATCAGGCGGGTCCTCACCCGGCAGACCACCTGGGGGCAATTAAGCCGGCGCAGCGGAATACCTAGGATTTTCTGGGAGGTCAGTGTAGACCGGAGGATGGTCACCTGGCGACCAGGAAAGCCTCGGATCTTAGAAAGGGAGATGACAAGGAGACAGATAGTGAAAAGAGAAAGGAGGAGGGACTGAGGGAGAAAAGGGAGGAAGGGAGGTTAATATCCCTTTCACTTAAGAATGAGGAGAGAGGGCCCTCCCTGGTGGCGCAGCGGGTTAAAGCACAGCCCTAAGAAGCTGAGGCCACTTCCGCATGAGTTCGATTCCTGCCTGCCCCGGAGGTGATCACATGGCGCGGCAGACCTCTCCTGACCCGCCCGCTGCTCCCCTCAGCAGTGTACTTCATGGATCTGCCTGTTCTGCTCCCCGCTCTGTCTCTGGTGAAGCCTCTCACCCTCCGCCATCTCTGGCCTGTACCCCAAGTCTGTATGAATAAATAAATAAATATTAAAAAAAAAAAAAAGAAAGAGGAGAGAGAGTCAGCGGTCCGCCGTGACCGTGAAGGTCGTGGTGAGGTGTAGTCCACTCCAACTGTGGCGTCAGAAAATCTACCAGACCATGACGGCATCGGCTAGAAGTTCTGCGATAGTCGCAGGTCGGACGAACTCTCTCAGAAAGGGGAACTCACCCGGGTGATGATCAGTGGTGCATGTGGGAGCCAGAGCCTGAAAAGGTGGACGTGGGCGAGCGGTATCGGGGTAAAGATCTGAGCGGGAGATGAGGACCCAACGGGGTATCCTCACTCCCGGGTTTTGGCACCAATGAAGGAACTACTCAGAGACCGGTCACCAGGAAGCCAAATTTTATTGTTGGGAGAGCATACTTACAACACTGAGGAAAAAAAGGGGTGGGGGGAGAGAAGAAATAAGGAAGTGGGAAGCACCCAATCATGAGGCGAGCCCTTGTTCCTTGCCTAATATGGTAGTTTGGTGACACCCGGGATACACGTTGCTGGAGCCGGGGCCCAAGACTGCAGTCAGCCAAACTGTTTTCCTTCACTCGCCCCTGCCGTCAGGGCTTCCCTGCCAGTCTGCACTGAATTCTCGCTCAGGGAGCAGCATCCGGCGCCGTGGCTGTGTAGAGTGGGTGCGAGATAAAAGCGTATGAGAGAAAGAGCGTTGGATCTCCCACTCCCATTAGAGGGCGCGCCTCCAGGGCCTAAATAAACGACCTCTTTTACGCGCACGCGCGCTCCTGACGCAGGCTTCAGGGCGTGAGCTACAGCGCACGCGCGTTCAGAATTGGACGCCATCAAGGCGGCCAGTGTTTTGAGGCAGCGCCGGAAGAGGTAGCGGCGTGTTTCCCTCCAGGCCAGGAGACGCGACGCCTTGCGCGGCTTGATGACGACATTTCGGCGCCGGGTAGCCGAATGGCGGCTTCCATCTCTTCGGCGAGCGGCGCGATGGGTGAGTGGCGGGAGCTGTGCCTGATATGGTCCCGGGTTCCACTTGCCTCCCCGAACCTCCCGGGCGGCTGTCTCTGTTCTTCGGCCGGGCCTTGCGACTGTCTCTGTTCTTCGGCCGGGCCTTGCGGCTGTCTCGGAACCGACAGGGCTGGCGGGACCGCGTCCTCACGCCACCTTCCCCGGCTGCGCATTCATTCCACCTTCCCGCGCGCCTGGCACACCTGGTCCCGATGGGTGCTCGGCCAACGTACGTTCAGCGAGTTAAAGATCTTCGAGTTGAAGTTGAACTTTGGGCTCAATAAGTGTGGAAGGAAAAGTTGGGGCTGATTATATGTATGTCTCGATTTTTCCAAGCTTCACCTTCCTTATCCGTACGTAATACAGCAGTCCCGGTGCTCACTTCACTCGGTAACTGTGAGCAGTAAACTGCAACTCTGCTTTATAGTGGTGCACAAGATAGAAGGGTGTGATCCAGGGTGTTGCCTGTGGCAGAGTCAGATAACAGAATATGTAGCTGACACGGCTCTCCCTTGGAAAAAATTAGTTTTTCATGAGGAATGAGGCACTGCTGTCTTCATTCCTTTAGTAGCTGTGCAAGCATTGTCTGAGCAAGGAAGTGTTTTCCCCTAATCTCTAAATTTCTGTCCCCTGCAAACATTCCAGAACTTTGTTACTTTGATAATTTTGGAGTATTGTGTAGTGTTTTTTAAATCAGTTGTTTCAGGAATGAGGCTTTTTAAATCTTTCTTAAAACTGGAATTGATAATATTTGCTTAAGAATTGCAAAAAACAGTGCCTAAAGACAAAAATGGGTATCTCTTAACCCCTCAAGGGCCTGCACTACCTCCTTTTATCCAGCTTCTCTCCACTTACATAGATTGCCAGTGCCCTTCCTAAGAACTTGAAGCAGAGCTTCCCCAAGAAAAACATCAAGTTAGCAGCCCAGAGTGGGAGTTAGTGTATGTCCTGTCCCTCAGTTCTACTGTGAATGTTTTTAGCTTCTGACCTGGGTGGGCAAAGAGGTAGGCCTCTGAAGAACTGATTTTTTGTCTGAAAGCTTCTTTGGTAGAACTCTTTCTTCCTCTCCATTCATTCATTCTTACAGAGCACAGGTAATGTAGAGACTTAACCCACCTGTCTATTTGTGAGGAAGTCCGTGTACTTGTATTTTGCCTCTGCCATTTACGAGGCAGTATTCCCTTTCTTTGTAGTGATCTCGAGGCAATATTCCCTTTCTTTGTCTGTAGTGATCTTGTAGTGTTTTTGTGAGTATGTATTTTCTGTCTTTCTTAACATAGAGCTTAAAATTACACCCACGTACTACCTTAGTTATATAGTGAGTACAGGATCAACTCATCCTCTGCTTAGGCTGTCACAAGACTGAAATCAAGGTCTTCACCAGTTTTGTTTTTATCTGAATGCATTCAGGAAGAATCTGCTTCTAGCACATTCAGGTTGCTGGCAGAATGCAGTTCCTTGGTGTTGCACGAAGATTCCCATTCCTTTGCTGCCTATCAGCCAGCACCACTCTATTTATGGCCCACCAACTTGAGATGATAGTTGTATATGCATGCAACTGTCAGAACCATACCAAGGTGAATTTTGGAATAGGGAAGAATATGCCTACCACAGTTTTCATTTTGTTTTGTTACATTTAAAAAGGACAGGTTTATTAAGAAAAGGAGCAAGAGAAAGGCACCCGCATAGTCCCAAATGGGCAGGAGAGCTGCTGCTGTCACTGAGCTGGGCACATACCAAGTCCTATACAAGCGTTACCAAGTATTATACCACTACACACTTGACTGATGCTGGCTGCCGAGCTGCATGAAAATGACATTTTTGGCCCTCCCTAGTGTTGCAAAGGGTTAGAATGCAGCACCGCAAGCTAGACAGCTGCTTCAGTGCAAGTTTGATCCCTGGCCCCAGAGGTGATCCAGATGGTGCGGCAGACCTCTCCTGACCTGCCTGCTGTTCCCCTCAGCAGTGTACTTTATCAGTCTGCCTGTTCGGCTCCCTACTCTGTCTGTGGTCCTCTCACTGCCCCTGCACCTCTCACCTGTACCCCAACTCTGTATGCATAAGTAAATCTTTTTTAAAAATGAAAATGGCATTTCTGTAAAACATGAGACTTGACAGTGGTATGTGTTGCATTATTCAAGCATTCTCCTGGACATTGTAAGACAATATAGTATTTGTTGTGAGGCAGATGTTGAAATCTTGTCTTTGTTTTTTCACAGTGGTTTCCTAGGACGACCATTTTAGACTCTCCACAGGAGGCTGTGATGGCGTTCCCTCACCTGCAGCAGCCCAGCTTCCTGTTGGTAAATATCAGCTACCCACATGAGTGTCAATGTGATGAGAGTGCTATAGCTGAGAGACTTGAGAGCTTTTGCCACTGACTTGAAAAACTCTTCATGACTCTTTTTTGGGGTATGTGGTAGAGGTAACACCAGACTCTGGGGTAGAATGTTGAGACTCAACTCTGCCTCCTGTTTGTACAGGACCTTGAGTTTATTCATCCACTGAGTCCTGATTTTCTCATTATCAAGACAAGTTGATTCAAGTGCCATTTTCATTACTTTTCCCAGATTGTGGGACTTACATCCAAATTTTCTTGTCTTGTGAAGACTTCAAAAATGGGATGTGTTGGGGTAACCATAATTTGTCATCAGTGAAAAATGAGGGGCACTGCTTGTTGGGGATGAACCAGGAAGGCACTCCAACTATTAAACATGATGCTGAGAACTTACACAGACATATACAAAGGAAATATCAATAATTTCAACCTCAAAAAGACACTTTTTGTAGTCAGAGGGGCATTCTTCCTTGGTCAACCATGACCTACACAGCCCAGATCTCCACCCTTGATGGAGGCCCTATGGACTCCACCTGTATTTGGAGGTGCATGAGGCCTTCGATATCTTTGGGAAAGCCCTCTTGGATAAAATGCTGGCATTTCTTCCTGATCTTATTCCAGTTGCACAGGGACACCTTTTCTTCATGTTGTCCAATGCTGTGACCTCAGGTAGATTTTCTTAGTTCTTGTCCTGAATGTTTCCTGCTCTTTCTGTTGCCTTTCTGGTTATTATCAACACTTGACTGAAGGCATCTTTTCTTTTTTGGTATAGAAAAATTGGGGTGCAGGCCAGAAGTGCATGGGGTGAGAGGATTCACCAGAGTGGGAGCAGAACAGGTGAATTTACTGAAATACACTGCTGAGGGGAGCAGCATGTGAGACAGGAGATGTTTGCTGTGCTAGTTGGGTCACCTCCCTGGCCTGGAATTGAGCTCAGACCAAATTAAAGAGCTGAGACTTAACACTTGCCACCAGGGAGGCCCTGTCTTATTTCTAAGGTAATTATTGCAGTTGGGTCATTAACTATTGAATAGGGAATATTTCGGTTAAAAGGGCTTAAGTTACAACAAATGCCACTCTCATTTTTTGGGCATGCTCACTGTTGATCACTGTAGTGTAATCCCAGGCGTCTAGCACATAAGAAATTTCTTTCTTCTTCTTTTTTAATTAAAAGCTTTTTATTTATTTATTTTTAATTTAAAAATATGTATATATACTTTTTTTTTTTTTAAGATTTATTTATTTATTCGTACAGAACTGGGGTACAGGCCAGAGATACGGAGGGTGAAAGGATTCACCAGAGACAGAGTGGGGAGCAGAACGTGCAGATCCATGAAGTATACTGCTGAGGGGAGCCGTGGGCGGGTCAGGAGAGGTCTGCTGCGCCATGTGGTCACCTCGGGGCCCGGCGGGGATCGAACTCATGCAGAAGTGGCTTAAGCTTCTTTGTGCTATGCTTTAATCCACTGCGCCACCAGGGAGGGCCTAAAAATATATATATATACTTTACATCATTTTTCAAGTCCAGCGCCTTAATCACTTGGCCATCACAGATGCTCTTTACATCATTTTTCATTTTGTACATTTTTTTCATCTCGGTTGTAATCCCTGTGGGCTTCGTACCATCACTTCACTCGTGTGTCATCCCCATAGTCCTATGTACTCTTCCCACCCCATTTTTTTTTTAAGATTTATTTATTTATGCATACAGAACGAGGGTACAAACCAGAGGTTCAGGGGTGGTGAGAGGATTCCCCAGAGAGAGAGTGGGGAGCACAATAGGCAGATTGACAAAGTACACTGCTGGGGGGAGCAGCGGGTGGATCAGGAAAGGTCTGCTGCGCCATGTGGGTCACCTTCTGGGTGGGGATTGAACTCATGCTGAAGTGGCTTTAGCTACTTAGTGCTGCACTTTAATCCATTGTGCCACCAGGGAGGGCCTCCCGCCCTATTTTTTATCTTGTTCCCTTTTCCACCCCCATAGGATGTCTCTGGTTTATAATTGTTTGTTGATTTTTGTTTTTACCTTATTACAATTACTTTTTTTGTTTGTTTCCT